CAGGCTTGACAGAGGAAGAAAGACAGAACCATCTGGGTACTTTCGACGGGTTCTTTGCTATTTTGTCGTAGGATCGAAAAGGTCGTCCATTTTCTTAATTTAAAAAAATCTTTAAATTTTGCCTTTTATTCTTGGCCATCGAGCCCAAAATTATATAACTTTAACTAGCCAGAAGAGTGAGTAGTTGTGCCAGCTGGAACGTTTCCTGAAAAATCAATAGATTGTTGATTTTTGTGTAAATTTCTGAAAGTGAGGTTATTATCGGCCGTTGAGGTATGTAAACCCTTTTTCCCTTTGATAAATGAGTCCCTATATATCTTCATTCCGTTCAGGCAATTTGGGAGAGTAGTAAAAATCCACGCCTACACTTCTGGGTGAAAATTTGACGAATTTGAGACCATGCTGTACTGCATTACCAAAGCAAGTCTGAGCCCCCTCTACAAGAAAAGTTGTGTCTTGTTGATTGATTGATCCCCGACCATTGGATGATTGCCTTCCGTCAGTTTGGTGCTTCTGGATCTCAAATTTATGAAAGTTTCCACGGATTTCTTCCAGGCTTGTATAATTACTTACCTATGGGTCCCGTTTATGTGCCTTATTAATTACAGTTTCTTGATATTATCTCTTTTCTACCGCTCCCTATCGTTTACCTTTATTAACTAATTATTATCTTCACAAATATCAATAACTGTTAATTATTATTATCTTTTTCGTTATCGCTCACTATTGATTAGCTTGATTAGCTAATTAATATCTGTATAAATCAATTACCGACTTGTTTACCTTATTGTAGTATTTGGCTAAAATAGCTAACTACAGTTTAATGTAATTTTTTATTGATTAATTAATCATTATCGTAATCAGATGACAGTCTTTATTATCGCTTTCGTTATCTTTATCTAGTATCCAATAATTATGGATTATTATAATTATTCCAAATTTATTTCTTTTGTACCGAATACAAACCGATCTAATATATCTAGGATTCATTAACTTTTAGAGGTAAATCTAACCTTCTGATTTCAAATCAATAATGTGGTAGTTTTACAAGGGTTACTAATGTAAAATCTTTAGGTAGTCAAATTTAAGTTTTATGGTTACCTATTTGAACTTTAAAGGTAAGAAGGTAAGAGCTCTTCCGGAAACCGTGAAGCCTTGATTTCATGTAGCAGGTTTTTGATATTTATAACTGCCTAACGATTATTTATTACCTTTCTGCATTGAATAAATTGTTTTCTATTGATTTGATTGACTTTGGGTCAAAAATTAAAGGTTAATGATATTGTGACTCCATCATTTGTACTTAGGAAAATTTCATAGTAGGTATCTATTAATTGTTTTTGAATTTCAATCCTACTATACTTATTTAAATTAGGTTTTGCTTTTAGAAAGCTGTTTACTGATTTTTTTTTAATTTTTTTAAAAACTTGGATACTAGACAATATTTTTCTTAGAACCATAAAAAAAAGTTCGCCATATTGTCACAACTTTTAATGACATCTAATTAATAAATAATTGTGTTCAGAATTCCAAAGCTTGTGTTTTTGTTGAATGAGTTAAATGTCAGATAGCTATTGGATTTTGGATTTATTTTACCTTTTCAGATTTTTTTGAATTTATCTTTTAAAACCATAACTAATTAATGGAATAGTGCCTAGTTTGGCTATTCCTTGGTAATCAAAATTATTTATACAAACTAGTGGCGCCCTCTCTCTACTGTACTAACACCAAGGACCACCCCATGCTAAACAACCACTGAGCAATAGTCGAGCACAGATTATGAACATTCTTTTGTTTCGACAAAAGAGCGTTACAATATCTTCAATGTATCTTTTGGAATAACAAAAGTTCACATCTCTTTGGTGCAGTTCCCATTCAGGATTAATCTGAGAAGTACAAAAAAATTGAAACAGACACAAATACGCTAGATTTCTTCAGTATGATAGGCAAGAAGTAGAAGAGCTACGATAGTTCAGCAGCACATTATGAACAAAAATGACCAAGATGGACCTGCGATTTTCTTATGGAGATTTACATGTTAAAAAAGTGATCGAAATTGTCGCAGAATTATCCTGGCTCATCTACTAAAAAACAGGATTATATCTTCAATGTATCTTTTGGAATAACAAAAGTTCACATCTCTTTGGTGCAGTTTCCATTCAGGATTTATCTGAGAAGTACAAAAAAATTGAAACAGACACAAATACGCTAGATTTCTTCAGTATGATAGGCAAGATGTAGAGGAGCTACGATAGTTCAGCAGCACATTATGAACAAAAAAGACCAAGATGGACCTGCGATTTTTTTATGGAGATTTACATGTTGAAAAAATGACCGAATTTGTCGCAGAACTGTCTTGGCTCATCTACTAATAGACCAATGTATTTTTCGGAGTAACAAAAGTTTTTTTTGGTAATCTGAAAAGTAGAGGAGCTAGGACAGTTCAGTAGCAATTGGGAACAAGAATGAACAAGATGGACTTGCGATTTTCTTATGGAGATTTACATGTTGAAAAAATGACCGAAATTGTCGCAGAACTGTCCTAGCTCATCTACTAAAAAATAGGATTAATATCTTTAAATGTATCTTTTGGAGTAACAAAAGTTCACATCTCTTTGGTGCAGTTATATCCATTCAGGATTTATCTGAGAAGTTCAAAAAATTTAAAACAGACACAAATACTCTACATTTTTAGTATCCTAGGCAACAAGTATAGGAGCTAAGACAGTTCAGCAGCAAATTGGAAACAAAAATGACAAAGATTGACTTGCGATTTTCTTATGGAGATTTACATGTTGCAAAAATGATCGAAATTTTTGCAGAACTGTTCTAGCTCATCTACTAAAAGACAGGATTAATATCTTCAATGTATTTTCTGGAGTAACAAAAGTTCACATCTCTTTGGTGCAGTTTCCATTCAGGATTCATCTCAGAAGTACAAAAAATTTGAAACTGACACAAATGCTCTAGATTTCTTTAGTATGATAGGCAAGAAGTAAAGGAGTAGCAAATTGGGAACAATAATGACCAAGATGAAACTGCGATTTTCTTATGGAGATTTGCATGTTGCAAAAATGGCGGTCGAACTGTTCTAGCTTATCTACTGAAATATAAGAATAAAAAATTCACATCTCTTTGGTGCAGTTATGACTGATCATTTAGGCTTGACAGCAATCAAATTGTTGAGATCATTTTATGTCCAATTACTTTGAATAATGAAGAGAAGTTTATCAAAGAATTTCAAGTCTTAGAGTGAAACATAGGCGCCATCTATTGATATGTTTTAGTCTAAGAACCTGGAGAACGTCCCCTTAATTTAGAAAAAGACTTAGCAGAGAGAACTTTGCTCAGTTTCCAGGAAAAGATCAAACTCCTCGTTTGAAACAAGTTATGATGTCTCAGCAGCAAAAAAAAAAAACAAAAAAAAATACGGCGAACTTAAAATTCATTTAATTTTCTCGCCTAATTACTCCATCAGTACATCAGAAACCTCAGGGCTAATGACAAACATTATCCTCCTAGCTATCCCAGACGTACACGCCGGTACGAAAATTTGTGCATATACGTAGAATTTCGCCATAAAGCATTAGATCCTGTCAAGCATTGTCGTAAAATGTTGTTACGGCTGCGGTGGCGCAACACTAACAACAAGTATATGAAAAATGCGGCACAGATATGACGGTGCACTCGCCCCCCAGAGTCGCATAAAACAACGGTAACGTGCCATTATCTCATAGAGTAAGTTTGGGAATTCTAGCACGACCGTTGTGTGTTGTTTTAAACCACAACAAGGGTTTTATTTTCTTTTCGAGTTTATCAAATATTTATATTGAAAAATCTTTTACCTAGGTTTCATAATTTATTGTGAAGTTTCTTTGAAAGTTGGCAAAGATAGATAGGAGATTTTACGTTGGGAAAAGTTGTGAGTAGTAGCTTAAAATATAAGTCGTCATTGTTCTGAAACACATGGAGAAGTTTCTTGAAGTCAATTTCAATGATAAATATTAGATAGTCGAATACATACATACACTTCTCAACTTAGGTAATGATATAACCAAGAAAGAGTAAATTAGAGAGAAAAGTTCAACATTGTATTATGGTGGAATATACAGGATTATGTAATTTTGAAACAAACAAAATTTTCTGTTCAAGAGATGTAACTTTTAATGAAAAATTAACAATAAACAATGAAATAAGAAAAGATGAAAATCATATTGGTTGGCGTCCCTCAGACGTTTTTAAATGCCAAAATTGCCACGTGTACATACATACAAGTAAACATAAACAAGGCAATTTTGGCACGTAACAACTTCCCTTCCCTTACAATAAGAGAGAAAGTTACTGAGGAAACTTTTCCGTCGATAAGCTAAGTAAACTTAAAAAGGAAAAATTAGGGCAATTTTTAACGTCTTTGATTCTTGCCAAAAGATGGAGTGATCCAAAAAATTTAATAAGGAAATGGTAGACTTTTGAAGTGCCCTGGGCCACAGTGTTTCAGTCCAACCCTTTAAATACAGTTTCAATATCAGATAAACATTTTTTTTATATATATTGACTTACATAACTCTTTCGGTCTCTCAAAGCTTTAATAAGCGCCAAATTTTAAAAGTCTAAACCCTTTGAAAAGTTGTTTTTGATAGCCGCAGGCGGCAGACTGAAATATTATATTGCGGCAGCAAAAAAATGTATTAATTTTTAATGCTCCAGATCTCTCTGGCAAGGCCTAATTGATTCAATTTAGTCTTTTCATTTAGATGGCAAAGGAGTTTTTATTCAAAGGCCTCTCTGTATAATTTGATATATTTATCATGGCAGCAACAAAAAAATTGTCTGATATCAAAATAATAAATAATCATTTTGTTTTCTCTGCGAATTTCTGTTCGTGGCTCCCAAACCCTTGTCATCGCTTAAAAAACAATCGTGAGCAAATATTTCTCCAGTGAAACCTAAATTGATATTTCTGCTTTTTCATTATTAAACATTTTTTTTTCTTGTTTCAGGAATTAGCTACGCAAACTCTGAAGATATAGTCAGGGACGCACGAGAAGGTGAAGATGTGACGTTAGAATGCAGATTTCCACCTCCATCTATGGGCTCGCTTTCCTATTACTGGATCAGGCAGTCGAAAACTGGACACGATAATGTTGCTATCAAAGATACACCTTTTGATCCCAACTACAAGTAAGTACACTGGCTTATTGTAATGAAATTTTATAGTCCCTCACATAAAATTGACAATTTGTATTTCAAAGTTACACTTTCTGATCCCAACTTCAAGTATAAACTTAAGAGGATACGATGGGCATTTTTTGTTGAAAAATCCTGACGGCTCCCTGCTCAGTTGGAACAAGGTTTAGACATCTAGATACATAATCAAATAAAATATTGAGTTGACTAACTTTAATCAACAGTTGGGATCATGTGAGTTGCGGTGTAAACAGAAAAGGTCCAACCTCTCTATATCACAGAAATTGACCTCTAGTCTCTTACCGATAGAGTTCGAATAGTGGCGCCACACACTAATTTTGGGTGAATAATTTAACGGAAATTAGCCGGAGCCCATTAAGTAGTTTGTTGTTTCGGTTGTTCTGGCGCTTGTATAGCTAAAGGCCGCCCAACTTCGACTAGTTTGCCGATTAATTATTCCATTAAAATGGTTATTTTTAGGCGAATAATTAGTAATAGTTTCATTAGGAAATAATTTATAGAGGCCAAAGACTCGATCGATATTTTCTCCTTCTGTGTGAAGAATCTTTTCCAGAAGAAATGTGGTATATCGTCAACTAATGATTGAAGTATCCAGAGACTAGAATTTGTTGAAAGCGCAATCAAAGGCCAGAATTTGACTGGAATTCATAAAGAATCTTGAGGTCAGAAGCAACAGAAATTCAATAAAAGACCTAAGTGTGAAATTGGCTAAAAATCCCCAAAAGATATTGCTGGACTGTTTGTAATTTCGGTAATACATGTACCATCGCTAATCTTATCTTGTATAATCTCATCGAATTTATTTTCACGAGTAGTATAAGGTGAAAAATGGGCCTTTAATTACGCGAAGACATGCTATACCTTGCACGCGATTTGGCCAGTTTCTAAAATTATGTATGCGATATTTCTTATTTAAGGGACGCTACCATAATTTATGTCCGCGATTTATTTTTGTTTTGTTCCTTTTTAAAACTACGTCTGTGACAAAATTATATTAATTGATATTGTTGAAACTCTCATTAAATTTACAAAACCCAGAGGACAAAAATATCTTTCTTTTTGTCAAAGGAAAACTAGTAGCGCACGATTCACTCTTCTATCCTATTAATTATTTTATGTCGCACACACACACCCATTATTATGTAGACAGGACCCAGCTTCCTACGGGATTCTTTTGTGCTGTTAACGTCGTGCAAAAAAAAAAAAATATTCGGGCTTTGAAGTTTTTCCCGTTTGAAGAATAGCTGTGAGTTTGATATGCCTTCCTGCCTATTGGAAACTGTAGGTATAAAGCAATTAAGTGAAAAAATAATGACGTCATATAAGAAAAATGAAAACCATAGAAAATAGGAGCTCGAAATATGAAAGATACATAATTATCATCATCAATACAAAAAAAAATGACTGAGTGAAATTTCCAAATCAGATTTCATTGGCATTTTCTAATTCCACACCATCATATTATCGCGTGCTTAGAATGGCATGTCAAATGGTCAATTTTTCACATTCCAGGCAAAAATATTTTGAACGAAAATCTGATAAAACCTCTATTTATTGAGTCACGCGCCCTCAAATTATAATCTCGTTAAATCTTCCGCTCAATTTGAAAAGCAATCTCTATATTTTTCCGCAATTTTCCTTTATTTAATATAGAAACAAAAAAAAGCGGGTCCAGCTTATTTGTATTCAATACGTATATCATAGAGCGACATCCGTTCTTGCTTCACCATCCCAGACATATCTCTCCTAAAACAATACCGACGACATCTTCACTGAATTTTTATTAAAATCCTGTCGAGATTTTCATGTTTTTATAATAGGCTGTCACGTTCGTTGTCCATTGTGCGAGAATAATACGTGAGGAAACTCAAAAATTTCGATGTCTACGATAGAATTTTCGGTATTAGGTGAAACTTTTTTTTATTCAGCGGGATCGTTTTATTTATTTTTAATCTTTTGTGACTTTATTTTTCGATTGCAGAACGTTTATCCTGAGATTTTCTTTCTTTCCTACCATCTTTTATCTTCATCATCTAGGATATGATAATGATTTTTATCAAATCTTAAAATGTTTGCAAATGTTGAGCAGAGTCTTGTCTACATTCTATAGTATTTTGCCTTCATTCAAATATCAATATCTCTAAGTCTTCAGTATTGTGTCTCAAAAATTGTTGGTCTCAAGCAGAGCTGTCAATACTTGTACTTCCTTTGAATTCTAATTCCAAAATTTTCAAACTTCGATTTCTTAATAACCGTTGAGCAAATTGCATTGAAATTTTCAGCATTTGTATGTGTTATCAGGCTCTAAATAGTGTGGTTTACGATATTCCCAGTTTTATAGTTTTTGAACAAATTGAAATTTTTGGTAAAATTTGGATTAAAAATCAAAGAGACTGAATTGCTCGAAAACTATTTGAGGTATCAAACTCAATTTTGCACAGATTTATAGAGCATTTAATGCTCTTTCCAATGATATATAATTTATTTCAAGTTGCTTGAAATTTAACTAAGATATGGGCAATTGTTCCTGACCATGTCAAGATTTTGATAATTTTCAAGAGCCAAAAATAGGATTTTATTTTTATTTTTGTTTCTGCTTAAAATGGCAATTTGGAAATGATGTCAGAATTGTTTTCTATTAATTTGATTCCGCTCTATCAATTGGTAAAGTCAAAACTGGGCAAAACTGAAAAATCAAAAAATCAAGTTTTTCATAAGGGTACCAACCCCTTTGAATTCTAATTCCAAAATCTTCCAACCTCGATTTCTCGGTAACCGTTGAGCAAATTGCATTGAAATTTCCAGCATTTGTAGCTCTTATCAGGCTCTAAATAGCCTATGAATTACAATATTCCCAGGTTTATAGTTTTTGAGCAAACTGAGTTTGAAATTTTTGGTAAAATTTTGATTGAAAATCAAATTTGAGACTGAATTGCTCAAAAACTATCAGATATAACGAACTCAATTTTGCACAGATTTATAGAGAATTTAATGCTCTTTCGAACGATATATAGTTTACTTAATTTGCTCGAAATTTAAGAAAAATATGGGCAATTATTCATGACCATGTCAAGATTTTGATATTTCTCTAGAGCCAAAAATAGGATTTTATTTTTATTTTTGTTTCTGCTTAAAATGGCAATTTGGAAATGATATCAGAATTGTTTTCTACTAATTTGAATCCGCTCTATCAATTGGTAAAGTCAAAACTGGGCAAAACTGAATAATCAAAAAATCAAGTTTTTCATAAGGGTACCTACCCCTTTGAATTCTAATTCCAAAATCTTCCAACCTCGATTTCTCGGTAACCGTTGAGCAAATTGCATTGAAATTTTCAGCATTTGTAGCTCCTATTAGGCTCTAAATGGCCTGTGATTTACAATATTCCCAGGTGTATAATTTTTGAGCAAGTTAAGTTTGAAATTTTTGGCAAAATTTGGATTAAAAATCAACTTTGAGACGGAATTGCTCAAAAACTATTGGAGATATCAAACTCAATTTTGCACAAATTAATAGAGAATTTAATGCTCTTTCTAGTGATATATAATTTATTTCAATTTGCTCAAAATTTAACACAGATATGGGCAATTGCTCATGACCATATCAAGATTTTGATAATTTTTCAAAGCCAAAAATAAGATTTTATTTTTGTTTCTACTTAAAATAGCCGTATGGAAATGATGTTAGGGTTGTTTTCCACTAATTTTGACCCGCTCTATCGATTGAGCAAAACTAAAAAATAAAAAAATCGATTTTTTTCTTAAGTGTATCCTCTTTGAATTCTAATTCCAAAAACCTCGATTTATCGGTAACCGTTGAGCAAATTGCATTGAAATTTTCAGCAGTTTTTTACCATTTACAATTTACAATATTTCCAGATTTATATTCAAAATTTTTAGCATTTGTAGCTCTTATTAGGCTCTAAATGGCCTATACATATTTACATTCAAAATTGAATTTATCGATCAGTGAAAATTTTCCAAAAATTACACTGAGCCAGTTTTTGCCTCACAATAATTTTCATCCGATTTCAATGTAATTAAACTCTAATTAAAACCAATTAAATTCTCTACAAACCAGATTTTCATTTACTTTCAATTATTCATTTGCTAGCTTAATTTGAAGGCCCTAACTTATCCATAACTCCTTGAAAAGTCGAGGGTGCATTTTTCAACCCCAACGGTATGCGTTTATACTAATCTGTCAAGGATTCAAGAAACTTAAATGGTTTCATTAATCACTATTAAAAATCTAGAAATTCCAAATAAAAAATAAATAAATACACACCCAATTGTGCCATTATTAGCTATCCAAGAAAACAACAACATCTTGATTAATTTTCCATTAAATCCTAACTACCAAAAAACTCAACTATAATTTATATTATTTGTTCCAGACTAAATTATCACGTAGACGAAGGCATTTACGACTTACTAATCAGCAACGCCTCCTATGACCGAGACGACGGTCGTTTCGAATGTAAAGTCAAAGCTGGAGGATCTGGACAAAATTTGCACGTGCAAAGATATTCGCTGACAGTACTTGCACCCCCTCAATTGCCTCAAATAGCTCCTGGATCTAGAGTAACCGCAACTGAAGGAAAACGACAAGAATTGACGTGCAGTTCTGTTGGAGGTTCCCCTGATCCTCAAGTGAAATGGTATAGAGAAGGTAAGGATTAATTATATTATATCAAACCTAACATTTCACCCCCCTAGAGAGAATCAAATCACAAACTCGTTTTGTTCGTGAATTATGCAAGCTTTTCCATTTCTCGCATTTCCTTCGCTCGGGTCCAAAAACGCCTCTTTGTAAGAGTGGCTTAATGATTTTAAGTGTTTTGCCAATACTAGAGAAAACCGACGGGAATGGGTTCGATTCTGTTTTAGCATAAAGGAATTTCGGCTTTAGAAATTGAAATTCTATCGATTGAAGTTGGTTAATTAAATGAATTCGGGTTAAGGAAGTAGTTTATAGGATTGCAAAATATGTTTTCAAACTTTTTCCCGTATATCAGTGAAGTGAATCGCATATATCACACACACAAGACTTTTTCCCTAGCGGGCCACTCTACTTTACAATATTTTACCAAAAATTTATCGTTTCTCGTAAGTACACCTGTCGTTTTTAAGGAAACCTATTTGCAAAGAGACTTGTTGCTTTTTTCTATACCGCCCTTTCCATTTAGTTAATTTGATCCTTATAATATTCGATCTATTGTGGTGTCTCAAATCTGTCCTCTCTAGGTCCAAAATATTTGACTTGCGTTAAGCCTGTTGTACCAAGTTAATTCAATTAATTACAAACAATAAACGTATTGATTTACAAATGATGATTGAAGCAAAGGGGAGAAACTTGACACCTTATTGTTGAATGATAATTATTTGTCACAGAGGGATAGTCTAAGAGACGTTTGCCTTAAGGGGGCTCCTAATATTACCACTGATAGAGACATTCAGGGAGAATCCAATAATATCCACCAATTTCATTTTATTCATAGGCTGTGGTAATTGTGGAAATTGAACATTTTACAAATATTTTCAACCAATATGTCAAGGGGAAAATTGTTCTCTAACCCGCATTTTTCAAAAAAAACAAACTGTTGTTTTATGGCAAAATTTAAATAATTAATTTCGTAAAACACACATTGGTTTATTATGCAAAAACACACTACACAGTTTCGGAATAAAAGCACTAGTTTTTTCAGTCAAACGAAATTCCTTGTTTGTTCACCGGACAATTTTTTATTTGAGCTGAAAATATGACCAGCTTTAATGCGGTTAATAATATTCAAATAAAAAAAAAAAACTGGCCACAATCTAAATGCAAATCGACGCCCAATATTTACATTCATAACGAGTAAGTTCGCTTTTGGGAGTTCATCAAATTGGCCGATTGTGATTTAAATTTTTGTTGGTAATTTACACCAGGAAAACAATACAAAAACCATTTATGGTTTTAAAAATCCCCCTATACTCAGCAGGATTTCGGGATTCGTTTTCCTCAAATTGTTGGCCTGAAATCCGCTCGGGATCTTTTTGAAGTTTTGACCTGATGGCTTTTCGGCAATTTGTCGATCCGATTCCGAGAGAAAAAGACGAATTTATTGGCGTTTCCAGACACAGAAAACATTTCTATTTAAGGATAGGACTTATCAATTATTGTCTTTTTCTCAGGAATTATAAGTTCCAATGAGTTGAAATTTTGAAGGGATTTGTAGTCCTCTATTAGAATTAGAATCGCTGGAAATTTCAGCTCTCTATCTTTAATAGAAAAATAGTTATGACTTTTCAAAGTTTTCAAAAATCTAAATCATAACCTTCTTACTAAATGGATGAAATTTCAATTTTTTTTTGTTGAGATTTTGTGTCCTAATGGTCATTTGGGATTCCCCAAACTCCATACACTAAATTATTCTCATATTTGAAACCGAAATCTATGAAAAAAGGCACTCAGAAAAATTGAAAAATTGATAAATCACCCCAAATTGCTTAACACGATTTTATCTCAGGAACTATAAGTCCAAATGAGTTGAAATTTTCAGGGATAGTAGTCCTCTATTGAAATAAGAATCGCTGAAAATTTCAACTTTCTATCTATAATAGAAAAAAAGTTATAGGGCTTCAAAGTTTTCAGAAATCCAAATCATAAGGTAGGTACCTTCTTACTAAATGGATGAAATTTCAATTTTTTTTTTTGTTGAGATTTTGTGTCCTAATGGTCATTTGGGATCCCCCAAAAACCATACACTAAATTATTTCGAGATTGGAGCCAGATTCTATGAAAAAAGACACTCAGAAAAATTGAAAAATTGATAAATCACCCCAAATTGCTAAACACGATTTTATCTCAGGAACTATAAGTCCAAATGAGTTGAAATTTTCAGGGATAGTAGTCCTCTACTGGAATAGGAATCGCTGAAAATTTCAGCTTTCTATTTTTAATAGAAAAAAAGTTATGACCTTCCAAAGTTTTCCAAAATCCAAATCATAAGGTAGGTACCTTCTTACTAAATGGGTGAAATTTCAAATTTTTTTTTGTTGAGATTTTGTGTCCTAATGGTCATTTGGGATCTCCCAAACTCCATACACTAAATTATTTCGAGATTGGAGCCAGATTCTATGAAAAAAGACACTCAGAAAAATTGAAAAATTGATAAATCACCCCAAATTGCTTAACACGATTTTATCTCAGGAACTATAAGTCCTAATGAGTTGAAATTTTCAGGGATAGTAGTCCTCTACTGAAATAAGAATCGCTGAAAATTTCAGCTTTCTATCTTTAATAGAAAAAAGTTATAACTTTCCAAAATCTAAATCATAAGGTAGGTACCTTCTTACTAAATGGGTGAAATTTCAAATTTTTTTTTGTTGAGATTTTGTGTCCTAATGGTCATTTGGGATCTCCCAAATTCCATACACTAAATTATTCTCAGATTTGAAACCGAAATCTATGAAAAAAGGCACTCAGAAAAATTGAAAAATTGATAAATCACCCCAAATTGCTAAACACGATTTTATCTCAGGAACTATAAGTCCAAATGAGTTGAAATTTTCAGGGATAGTAGTCCTCTACTGGAATAAGAATCGCTGAAAATTTCAGCTTTCTATCTTTAATAGAAAAAAGTTATAACTTTCCAAAATCTAAATCATAAGGTAGGTAGGTACCTTCTTACTAAATGGGTGAAATTTCAAATTTTTTTTTGTTGAGATTTTGTGTCCTAATGGTCATTTGGGATCTCCCAAATTCCATACACTAAATTATTCTCAGATTTGAAACCGAAATCTATGAAAAAAGGCACTCAGAAAAATTGAAAAATTGATAAATCACCCCAAATTGCTTAACACGATTTTATCTCAGGAACTATAAGTCCAAATGAGTTGAAATTTTCAGGGATAGTAGTCCTCTACTGGAATAAGAATCGCTGAAAATTTCAGCTTTCTATTTTTAATAGAAAAAAGTTATAACTTTCCAAAATCTAAATCATAAGGTAGGTACCTTCTTACTAAATGGGTGAAATTTCAAATTTTTTTTTGTTGAGATTTTGTGTCCTAATGGTCATTTGGGATCTCCCAAATTCCATACACTAAATTATTCTCAGATTTGAAACCGAAATCTATGAAAAAAGGCACTCAGAAAAATTGAAAAATTGATAAATCACCCCAAATTGCTTAACACGATTTTATCTCAGGAACTATAAGTCCAAATGAGTTGAAATTTTCAGGGATAGTAGTCCTCTACTGGAATAAGAATCGCTGAAAATTTCAGCTTTCTATCTTTAATAGAAAAAAGTTATAACTTTCCAAAATCTAAATCATAAGGTAGGTACCTTCTTACTAAATGGGTGAAATTTCAAATTTTTTTTTGTTGAGATTTTGTGTCCTAATGGTCATTTGGGATCTCCCAAATTCCATACACTAAATTATTCTCAGATTTGAAACCGAAATCTATGAAAAAAGGCACTCAGAAAAATTGAAAAATTGATAAATCACCCCAAATTGCTTAACACGATTTTATCTCAGGAACTATAAGTCCAAATGAGTTGAAATTTTCAGGGATAGTAGTCCTCTACTGGAATAAGAATCGCTGAAAATTTCAGCTTTCTATTTTTAATAGAAAAAAGTTATAACTTTCCAAAATCTAAATCATAAGGTAGGTACCTTCTTACTAAATGGGTGAAATTTCAAATTTTTTTTTGTTGAGATTTTGTGTCCTAATGGTCATTTGGGATCTCCCAAATTCCATACACTAAATTATTCTCAGATTTGAAACCGAAATCTATGAAAAAAGGCACTCAGAAAAATTGAAAAATTGATAAATCACCCCAAATTGCTTAACACGATTTTATCTCAGGAACTATAAGTCCAAATGAGTTGAAATTTTCAGGGATAGTAGTCCTCTACTGGAATAAGAATCGCTGAAAATTTCAGCTTTCTATCTTTAATAGAAAAAAGTTATAACTTTCCAAAATCTAAATCATAAGGTAGGTACCTTCTTACTAAATGGGTGAAATTTCAAATTTTTTTTTGTTGAGATTTTGTGTCCTAATGGTCATTTGGGATCTCCCAAATTCCATACACTAAATTATTCTCAGATTTGAAACCGAAATCTATGAAAAAAGGCACTCAGAAAAATTGAAAAATTGATAAATCACCCCAAATTGCTTAACACGATTTTATCTCAGGAACTATAAGTCCAAATGAGTTGAAATTTTCAGGGATAGTAGTCCTCTACTGGAATAAGAATCGCTGAAAATTTCAGCTTTCTATTTTTAATAGAAAAAAGTTATAACTTTCCAAAATCTAAATCATAAGGTAGGTACCTTCTTACTAAATGGGTGAAATTTCAAATTTTTTTTTGTTGAGATTTTGTGTCCTAATGGTCATTTGGGATCTCCCAAATTCCATACACTAAATTATTCTCAGATTTGAAACCGAAATCTATGAAAAAAGGCACTCAGAAAAATTGAAAAATTGATAAATCACCCCAAATTGCTTAACACGATTTTATCTCAGGAACTATAAGTCCAAATGAGTTGAAATTTTCAGGGATAGTAGTCCTCTACTGGAATAAGAATCGCTGAAAATTTCAGCTTTCTATCTTTAATAGAAAAAAGTTATAACTTTCCAAAATCTAAATCATAAGGTAGGTACCTTCTTACTAAATGGGTG